GGTGATCTAAGGTACATTGTGGGTCATTCCCAGATCTACAGGGGCTATGATCAAACCCATTTTTATGTCCCTTATTGTTTAGATGCTGCTTATCTGGGAGCACAGTCCTGGGATGTGCCATGAACATCTTCACCACACCTGCCCCCCGTTAAGGTCAGAACCAGGAACAGCACTATCCAACCTTTCTATGCAGTAGGAATGATGCTACTCCCATGCAAGACAGAGATTGTCCTGTGGGCATCCAGTACCTGTGCATATGCAGGGGTACAGGCAGAAACCCACCCATGGTGTCCCACCCTGCCACCATGGAGGGCTGAAGGTGCCCATGTTGTGGTGGTGACCATGCCTTAATGCTTTGAATTAGATCACTGCTGTGAATGACTGCAGTATCTAGTTGCCCTCCTCTCCCTTCTCCTCCCAGTCATCATGTGGACCAGGAATATGCTCACTGCCTTTTAAATGTTATTCTTATAAGCCCATTCATAGAGTCATAGAATCATAGAGCAGTTTGGGTTGGAATGGGCCTTAAAGCTCCTCCAGTTCCACCCCCTTTCACTAGAGTAGTTTGCTTCAAGTCCCATCCAACCTGGCCTTGAACACTGCCATATATCCTCCTTCAATGGTTCCTGTTATTTAGTTTCACACCAATTTCTCATCTTCCTTCTGGTATTGATTATGGATGCACTTCTTTGATGCCTCATGTTACTTCAGTTGAAATTACCTTCATTTCTTTCATACTCCATGGACAGTGAAACAAGAATAAATACGTGCAGTAACACCTGCACCCTTCAAGCCCTTTCCCTGCATTGTAAAATCAGCTGAGCAAGCTCAAGACCATCACATTTGTTTTGTTAGAGGTAGAAAGAGGGAGAAAGAATGGATTTGGTTTGGGTTTTTTGCTTTTAACATCCTGTCTGTTCCTTGGCTTCTAAAGGAAAATCATCCAAAAGACTGTTCTACAGAACTTGAATGTGCCCTGGATTAAGCTGAAGTGCAAACTTTCATTTTGGTTCATTGAAGCAAAACAAAACTGTCTGATTCAGAAATGTCAAAACATTATGTTTTTCTCTGAAGTATTTCAGAGCCAACGTATTTCCTCTCTTTTCCATGAAAAACTTAAATATCTGCATATGGAGCAGATTTCTGTGAAATCTCACATATGGTGGGAGCAAAAGTTTAGATTTCATCATAACAGGATTTCTTACAGGGCAGGAGTTCTCCCTTCTGCCTTTGGTTGAAACAAAATTTATTGTGTCCTTAATAACTAATCACCTTTCTTTCAGACAAGGGATCCTGGCCATAGAAAGGTGGAATGACTTACCTGATGTTCTGCCCCTTTTTTGGTAGTGTTGGGTATCTTGGGGGCCTGGTACACAGGCAAAGCCTCAAGTAACTAATGCTATTTAAATACATCAATAATAGCTAAAAGTAGCAGTAAAACCCAGAATGTGTAATTGTACTCATCTTCTTGAGCCTTTAGCCTAAAATGATGCTAAGCCTCAATACCCATTTCTCACTGCCCATTGCTGCTGATTGTGCACATGAAGGCTTTTTCCTCCCCAACCCAGCAGCAAATGGCATCTCAACAGGATCAAAGACTGTTATTAATGGGCCAATGGCAGGATGGAGCTTTTAAAATCAGATTTGTATGCACATAATATTGAATATACATTTAGACAAGACTGACCAGTCTTTTTCTATGCCATGGGTTGGGGTTATCAGTTTGAAGTTACTTGCTTGGGTCATGATAGTTCCCAGCAAATTAGCCTGTTCTCCAGGCTCATGAGAAAGCCTATAAAGACTAAACAGGGGCTTATGGATCATAATAGCCTGCCACATACTGGCAAAATAGGAAGCACCCAGCAGCAGTCAGATTTACTGTCTTTTATATTCCCTGCCAACAGTGTCCATCTCTCCCTCCTCAGTTCAGTCCTGGAGCAAAGCCAGTGGAGAAGAGCATGGTGTGTTGATAGAAGCATTATCACTCAGTGCTCTCAAGGCCAGGAAGGAAGGGGGATAATTCTGAGGGGTCTAGCAGAGACATGGACATTCAAGATAACACAGAAGAGGTTATTTAAACATCTGCTTAGAACGATGATCCAGGGAGAGAAATGTTAGGTCAGAATAAGAAGCTGCACAGGACAGTGATCAAGGACATCATATGAAGCTGAAAGAGAGTAGATTTAGGTTGGCTCTTAGGCAGAAGCTCTTCCTTGTGAGAGTGCTGACCTGCTGACACAGAGAAGCTGTGGCTGCCCCATCCCTGGCAGTGTTCAAGGCCATAATGGATGGGACTTGGAGCAAGCTGCTCTAGTGGAAGGTGTCCCTGCCCATGGCAGGGGGCTGGAACTGGATGAGCTCTAAGGTCTCTTCCAACACAGAGCAGTCTGTGATTCAGTGATTCTACAACATGGCACTTCACAGCAACATAGCAGAAGCAGGAGCATAAAGTCACAGCAACCAGTTTTGTTGCATGGTTTTCTAAATAAGTTTTGGTGGTTTTAGATTGCTCTCCTTGTGAGTTACCGCATGTCTTATTGTGTCTACGCGTTTTGGGCTCTTATTCTCTAACCAGTGGCCATTTTGGAACATTTAGACTCAGATCTGGCTCCATGCCCAGGATAGATAGAAACCATGACACCAGAACACAGCTGAGCCCCAGTGGAGTTGTCTTCCACACAAGAGCATACCATGACTTCATCTTGCATTTGTTGCCTTCTGTTTGACAGCGACTCAGGCAGCCCATGCAAATAAAGGCCTTGGTGAAACCAGAAAAGACTGTAAATGTGCTCCCTGACTTCCTGCTGAGGCTTGGAGGAGTTTCATACCAGAGGTCATGGCCATTTGACCAGAAAAGAATCTCCATCTCCTGTCTTAGCACGCACGTACTACTATATCAACATCTTTCAGAGCTGCATCATCATTTGTCACTTAGAAATCAAAGAACAAATTGTGTTGGAAGGTACCTCTGGAATAGTCCAGTCCATTCTCCCACTCAGAGCTGAGCTAGCTTCAAAGTTAGATCTCAATCTACCTTGTCCTACCATTGTTAAAAGCTCTACCTCCATGGCAATGGTGAATCTAAAGGAGGAATCTCTAAACTGGAGTATGAGCTACTCCTGTGCACCCCATGGCTAATTCAAACCCATGTTTTTAATTAAACCAATGTAAATCAGTATTTTCTTCTTCTTTTCTTTTTGTTTTTCTGAAGAAAATACCCAACCAAGCATTTTACTTTAGGCCAAATGCTGGAGTAATTGGCTTCATGTTTGAATTTCTTTCAGTAAAAAATCTGGGCATTTTAAAACAAAACAAACTTTTAATGAAACTTTTGAAAGTCCATAATTCATCACCAGAGCTTTCAAAGAAGTATTTTCAGCAGGGTTAGAAAAAAACACAAAGAAAAGTACGAGAAGACTGAAATATGCTACATTTAATTAAATTTTATTCTGATATTTTATGTTATAGATGTGGCTACATCATCTGGGATCCTCTAACCCACATATCATCAGGCATGACTGTTAAAGGTGCTGGCTTCAAAAGTTTATTTCCTTCTGTTACTCCATCTCCCTTATTTAGAGGCTATCTGTTGAAACCGAACTGATCTTTGGTTGACATCATCACTGAGTCCACATTGATTCCTTTTGTAACAGTCCCAAAAGTCTAGGCTGGGCTTCATTTCACCTCAGTTAATCCCATATAACTATAAGCTGTTAGTGGAGGTTCTGACATAAGAAGCCTCACTGACCTCATCTGCTTTGCCATTGATGGAGGGAGGTCTACAAAAGGCAGCTGAAACCTGTGTGAAGTCTGAATTGCCTTTTGTACTCTATCTTCAATGAGAGATCTACACTAAGTATCTTGTTAAGTGTATCTCCATTTACAGCAGATGAACCTCTGAAATTCAGCAACTCTTCTTTAGGTTCAGTTATCTAGGCCATACCCTTGCTAGTGTTATCTTGTCCTTTCCACTTGTTGGGATTAAATTCACTTACTGATTCCTTTAGACATGTAGTTGAATTTCTCTGGTTAGACTGCTTACACTGCATCCCAATGGTAGTTCTTTGGTTCATTGATGAACCACAGGAAATTAATCTCAAAGTAGATCGCATCTTTTCCATATAAACCTGGTGTCTTATCCAAACATGAGAAACTGGGAGAGTGGGGTATGGTGAGACTTGTGTGTCTGTACTTGATGCTGGAATTACTTTAACTGGCATTTGACCTATGTAGTGACATGACTTTGATTTCTTGAGATCTGTCTTGAAAGATATGGTGACATTTCCTAACAATGAAACAAGGTCAGGAAATGGAAGAGGTGAATATATTTTTGGCTATGCTCAGGACAGCAAGAAAATGTAGTGATGATAAATGATACACAGCTTCAGCACAACTCCAGAGGGGCTGAACTGCCTGGGCTGTGTCCAAGACCATACCAATTTCGTGTATGTTGCATTCATGCACTTGGAGACCACTGCTGTAGTCTGGCACCTTGACAGTCTCTATTTCTGACTCATTGAGTCAAGATGCAGACAAAAATGCTGGAGTTACGCTTACCACCTTCTAAAAGGCTGCCTCTATGACCAAACTTATACTGCATTATGTACATATCATGGTTAGGAGTCATGATAAACTTGACAATTCCAGCATTTGGGCTAAATATGACCAAGTTCTATTTGTCCATTCTAATATGAAAGGATACCCCCCAATATCACAGTCATTATGCATGATTAAGCCACCACAAATCTAGTTTTGACATAGTGGACCATGTCTTTAGCGCATCCAGCCAGTGCATTACAATTAGATAGGTTGGACCAGATGATCGTTGATGTCCCTTTCAACCTGGAATTCTGTGATTCTATGAATTCTTGCATAGCAACCCTTGGCTTCAACCAGCCAGCTCTAAGCATCTGTAAAATAACTTCCAATTCCTCTTCAGGACACAGCTGGATGTTGTAATGTTCTCAGCTATTTGTTGCTTCAGTCAATGCTCAGTGCTACTGTCCCTGGCCTACTCTGCATGTTTGCATGTTGCGGAGCTGCACTCTCAGATGGATGTCATGCTCACCAGTTTCCCTCCTCACCTGCTCATCTGCACGCAGCTGGGACCCTTCACCAAAGCACTTGGTTGGAGGCCAGGAGCATGCTCAGTTCAGAGCTAAAGACTCCTGGGCACACTGGCTCCCAAATGAGAGTTTTATTTGAAAAGCTCACAGCACTTCTGCGTTATTAGAAGTATTTTCCTGGCACGGTGCCCTTTATTCTTTATCCGCTAGTGCTACTGAGGAGACGGACTGTTAGTATAATATTAGCAACAAGTAACACCTAGGGTTTTTTTTCACCACTGGGTCTCAAAACTGTTTCCAGATGATTTCGTCATTCACAGTTTACAGTTTGGGAAACTGAGGCATAGAAAAGGGAGGGATTCATCTAAGGTTCAACAGTCCTCCTTGTCCTTCTGTGCACCTTCCTCCCCTCCCACATGCATTCATGTCCCTGCTTCGTGGCTGTAGCTCTCATCACTATCTAGGTAGACCTCATCACTGTGGAAGGGGGTTGAAGAAAGGCCCAGAGGTTAATCACTGTGTTCCTGGTAAACTGTACAAGCTTCTGATCCCATAAATATACTGGGGCATGGCTCAGACAAAGCCTGACCCACAAGGGCTATTCCTTCCCTGCTTTCTAGATAACTGTAGTACCTTAGAGACATGTACAGGCTTCTTGTTCTGGTGTTTAAGACATATTTCAGGATATTCTATGACAAATGTGTCAAAAGAAGTCATTAGTAATTCAGGGGTTATTCTGCCATTGCTCTAGATTTCTTCTAAGTCAACAAAGAAGGACTGGGTTGCATCAAGATCACTTTCTGTAGACCGGATTCACCTCACCTCACTCAGTCCTTGTCTGCAATGCCCGTATTGGTACTTAGTTCTCCCAGACTCTCCTGATGGACAGAACAGAGGCTAGGCACCTCCAGAGAATAGTATTTTGGTATTGGATAGCAAGGAGCACCCAGGGCTACCACAAGGGCATGTTGGAACCTCATCCACCATCTCACACTTTTGCCAGAAGAAAGGTAGCCTAGATGCTTAGTTTCAGTCCAGCACAAGCCTGATTTAATCCCAGTACACTTATTGTTTTCAGTTTCATCTGGGGAGAAATGACGAGGGGCTACTCAAACCTTTAGAATGATGTAGATGGACTTTGGGGACGCTTTTTGTCCCTATAACAGATTGCTGTTGTCCTTCCTGAGGGCTGGATTGCACCCTGGCTACCGGGCTGTGGTGAAAGAAAGGCACAGGAGGCAGAGCTTGTTCTCCTGGATGCAGGAAAGCAGTGAGCAGAGTGTAAGAACACGCATCGCATGCTGTGTGTGGCCTCCAGCTTCCTATTCTCCAGGAAGACTGTGGCACAAAGTCCAAGCACGGGGCTTGGCACCAGGAAATTTGGAGTTTGTGTTGACCGTGCTTTGGCCTTGGGTGAGCAGCTACAACGTGATTCCTTTCCATTTCCCCATCTGCAGCAAAGTAGGAAAAATACTTACCCCATATGGAGGATTAAATGTTTAGGAGGGAATCCAAACTTCACTGAAGTCAATGGCAAGTCTCCCAGCGCTTCACCAGGAAAAAAATTCAAAGTGCTAAGTGTTCTGGAGCTTTGCATATGAAAGGGAAATTCTGTTTTGGAGAGTTTCAGTTACTGCGCAGAATGGGAGAGCCCTGGTCACATCACTCGATCTCCTGCTATCTCGAGAGCAATCTCTCTTCATCTCTCGTTTTCAAGTTTGATGTGCACCGAGACCAAAGCCACAAATCAGAACATTCCTAAACGTTAGGACTGTTTGAACTTCAATCTGGATCTGCATTTGCAAATGTGCTTTATCTTTATAACACAGGCCAAGCAAAATCCTCCATCTGGGTGCTTTTGAAGTGGGGAGGGTCTGCACGTAAATTCTGCAGTGCGAGTCCTAATCTAATCTCATCTCATCAGTGCATTGTCCTGTTTGGCTGTCTATCTATCTGCCCAGAACATCAGTTTGAAATGTGTGATCTTTGGTCTTCTGCAGAGGGAGAAGCAGGAAGGGTCTGTAGGCTATTTCTAGCTTTGAAAATGTAACTGAGAGTGTGAAGTTATTCTAGACAGAGGCCTGGATTTATTATATGTGGGTTAGTCCTTCCATTGGGAAATTTTTCAGGATCAGCAAATAACAGTAACAATAAAGTTAAAAAGCACTTGCCTAACACTGAAACATTTTGCCAGTATTTCACCTAGTCATCATCACCAGCTTTCCCTAATTCCTATCTTGTTTGTGGGCATATAGTATCACCCAGTGGTAGAAACCAGCTTGGTCAAAAATGCTGCTGATACTACTGTATAAAACACCAGTGACTGACCCTGATTTGGAAATGCTGAAACCTTCAAAATCTCTCCTTTTTGGCTGAAACACCTTCTTTCAAAGTTGAGTTGTTTTTTTGTTAAAGTGGGGACAGAGGAAAGGGCAATGAAAGAGCAATTTGCTTTTCTGCCTTCTTTAGACCATTGCATTCAGCTATAGCTACTTCTGCACCTCTCTCCCATCCGTACCCTTTTGCACTTTCAAAAGCACGAGCCCACGTTTGGGCATATGCCCGCGTGCACAAGCATAGATGTTATATTGTGTAATACACGGGGTAGGTCAAGCAGGAGGATATTTTGGTAGCCAGGGATGGATGACAAGTTCTACCAAGCCCATCCACATGTGTTAAGATTAGTGTGCAGACATCAGCCATGACTCAACAGGATATGCTGGTCCAAAGCCAGGGCTAGAATGATGTTACTGGCCTTCTGAATCATTAGTGGAAAAAAAAAAAAGGGAAAAGAAAAGAGACATCCCTCTGTCGCCAGCATTCTCCATCTGTTTTTAACTTGGTGATGTCCTTTGGAAGGTAGGTGAACTATTTGGTTTGCTTTAACTACACAAACATCTTGCAGACCAGCGTCTGAACATGCACAGGGCAAGCAGCAATGCAATGGGACCAGCTCTGAAATTAGGATGTTTGGCTGCATGAGGATGAGGGAAGGAGGCTGCTACTGAGGCTGGTGATCCCATGCCTGTGGGGATGTGAGCTGGCTGGGAAACAGGCAAGGACAGATGGTTCAATACAAACTCAGACTTAAAGGTGGTGCTGGTGGGACAATCTGTATTTTCTAGTGTGGTACAGTGGGAGCTATTGTACCTGGGAGGGCTCTGTCTGAAAGGAAAAAGATGTTTCCTTTCTAAGCTGGCAGCTAGTTCAAGTTGGGAATGCACAAGTCAAATCAGGGTAATTTCTTCTCCTTGTCCTCACCAGCAAGAACTCATTTCCAGCTTACCCTCTGCAGGCCAGCTCCCTTCACCTTTTGCCCTGGGTGACTTCATGCAACACCCTAATCTTACGTGGTGTCATACAGGAGGTCTGTCCAGCTTTTCTTTGCCCACATTTATTTTCTCTACCTAGCCTAATGATTTGTAATACAGAATAGTATGTCACTACAGTTATGCCTTTTGTTTGAAGCAGTGAAGATTCCTTGCAGGAAATTAGCCATTTACTAGTGGTGGATGGAATACAGAGTCCAAATGCAAAGTTGTATTAATGTTTTCATGGCAAAACTAATCCAGATACAGTGAAAGCAAGCTTGGTAATGATGATGTTATTCTGTCTGAAATACCAGTCCTTCACAGGGACTTGATTGCTAAGCTCATTTTGACACATAGCAGTTTCTTTAGGAGATGCTATTGAAGCAGGCAAATCTGTGTGCTGCAATCATAGCCTGCAGTTCTGACTCTTCTGGCTCAGGCAGCAAATTCATAGCCAAGCAGTAAAAGTCTAGATGTAAAAAGCAGATGATATTTAAAGGAGTCACGTGCAAGGACTATATTTGAGCAAGATTCATTGCCTGGATAAATGTCAAATGGAGAATAACTGTGCAGGTCTCAGCTCTGGAGAGAAGCTTTGAGAGCTATAATGGATTACAAACTGATCATGAATCAAGAAATTCCTGCTGTTGTAAAAAAGAAGATTAGGATTGCACTGAGTTGCACTTGCAGGAGTATACCCTTCCAGTGGAATGGAACAGTTCTTCTCCCAGTCAGTAGTGGCTAACCCACTGCAAGAAAGATACGGATAAACTGGAGAGTCCATTTGGAGCATGATTAGAGAGATGACCTAGAAGTAAAGATCAAATGAGCTTAGCCCAGTGAAAGGGGTGAAGCAAGAACTGAATTGCAAACTTGAAATACGTAAGAAACTATATGGAGAAAGGAAATAATCTGTGTGCAAAGGTTTAATCTAAATTCAGGTTAGCCATCAGGACCACTTTTCTGAGGTTAAGGGTTGCAAACCGCAGTAATAGATTATTAGAAGGGCTGACATCTCCAACACTCCATCCTTTAAGAGAATGCTGGAGCCACATCTACTAAAAATGTCAGAGAGAAAATGGGACCAGAGGACAGACTGGAAGATCTCATAATATCCCTCCCAAACATCTGAGTCCTATGTCTATAATGGAATAGAAGGAAGGACAAAGCAGAGAAATATATTACTTAAGAAAGGAAAAGGAATTAGAAATAGGAGTCACAGCCTGAAATCAAGTAATGGAAAACAAGCAGAAGGAAAAGTGTCCTAAGTTAAAGAGCTGTAGAACAGCTTGTGGAGGATAGCAGTAGAAGCCCTTGGACTTGAGTCACTCAGATGAAAACCTGGGGGAATATGTAGTAGGGAACAACTTCATGTTGGCCAAGGGTGAATAGACAAAATGATCTAATTAGTCTTTTCCAGATCTTCTTTTTATGACTCCATAGAGTGCCTTGATGAGGACAGTGGGATTTGGGCTTGCTAAAAGAAGCCAAGTCAAACATTACAAGCCACCACATGACAGCAGCAGTCAGCATGAGAAACGGCCACCTCCCCTGTCAACGGGTTTGCATTCCAAGTAATCCCTCAAATTCAGCTTGTTGCTGATGTAAAGAACTGGAAGAAGAGTCACACCACTTCTCTGAAAATCACTTGCAAGATGGGAGACACGGGAGTTGGCTACTCTCTTGAATCACACCAGCCAACCAATTAGTTTCACTGAGTACCACTTAGAGTAACAGCCAAAGGAGACAGAGTATGATATCGTAAGACAAAGTGTTCCTACTAGTAACTGACTCTTTCTCAGATATTGGCTTCACTCATGAGTTACAGAAGGGATGCTTCAGAAAATCAGCTTTGCTGCCGGTCAGTGTTTTGGTATTTCTTGGTTCTGGTGCACCCAATTCATCTGAAAACACAATGTGCAAGAATAACACAAGAGAAACAGACATTAATCTCTATGCTATTACCAGGGGCATCCAACCCTGTTTATGTGAAAGGATGCCTGGCAGCTAGCAATTAATAATGAAGACAACATTTTAAAGCATATTTCTTCTCAGTTTTCCAATGAGGGTGTCAAGCTGACTGATTTGTTGTAGTTTCATGGATTTTTATAGCTGAAAGGCTAAAGCCTCTTAGTCTTCATTTAAAGCCCTGACTGATAAAGTATCAGAACTTCCAGAAATGCTCTATTACCTGCCCTCCTTTTTGCCAGGGATGATGTAGCTCTTGACACCTGGAAAATACAGAACTGGTTTACAGTTTCTGCGATGTGCATGGAATCCAAACTCATACAGCATCTGCTGGCAGACCCCAGGGTGAGCTGGACCCTAAGTCAAGGCTCATGCCAGAGATGTGCCATTCAGCTTGGAAAAGTCAGAGGAAACCAGACATAATGTTAACCATGCTGTGTCCTGGTGGGACATTGGCTGTGGAAAGTAGCATGCCTGACTCAGGTTCCCCATGCTAAAGCAGGCTTTGATTACACAAACACAACTTTGGGACAACTGGCACAACTTTGGGATGTGGGAGAAATCATGGCTCAGGTCATGGAGAATTTTTATGTTAGGGATGTGGGGGAAACGCACCAACATTCACCAATTCAGATCAACAGCCCTTGAGAACAGAGGTATGGTTCTACATTTCTTCAACCTGTATGTGGTTTCCCCTTGCCATAGATCCCTGTGACTTTCTGGCCATGATAACACCAAATAGCACAGAGATTCTTCAGTCTATCTAAAACACTAAAGTCAGAAGGACCAGCACACTGCTGTGCTGATGTCCCTGCCTGGAGTCCCACAGGAAAACAGCTGCTCATCCTCTGTGCAGTGTGATGGGAGGACAGCAATGCTGCTTCCCGCTGACACACATCTCTAGTACCAGATAGCAAAGTGCAGCAGCAACACCAATAAAGTAATAAAAGTGACAATATAATACACTTTTACAGCTTCTGAAACTGTTTTAGTGCTTTTTGCTGAGTGTAGCTACTCCCAGATGCCAAGACGTTGGATCTAGGGCTTCACATAAAATGAGGTTTGCATTTCCAGCTAGGGAGAGATGCTCTTTTCCAGGCTTGGTGTGACCAAATCAAGACAAATCTGCTTTATTTCTTTAGGAAAAGCCCAAACCAGGATTGAACGTGCTCTAACTACTATGTGCACTAACCTCTGTTTGATTGATCTTCACTTTCCCCGAGTACTCCCACATAGATACAGATTTATATAGATGCAACTGAAGTGGTTTCGGAGCACAGCTCTCTTTCAGGTTGACTAGTATGCCTATGTCACTTGAAGCTATGTTTGACCTGCCTCTTAAGAGACCACATTCATAAGAGTGAAAGGATTCAGACCACCTACTATCTGAGCCTAATTCTCTTACAGCCAGTGGAGAGAGGTAAGGAATGAAAGCACCTCATTTATTACAGATGTTTCGAGCAAGCAACATGACCCTTTCTCTCCACTGACTGAACAGGCAGGGAGCCAGACTCTAGCAAACCTGAGCAGGAGGTGCTTAGCACGGCTTATTCTTCTCCTGAGCTTGGACATGTTGGTAGCCATGAAAGAAACATTGGCAACTGTAGTGTAAACTCTACAGCAGGAAAAGGCATCCTGTGCTGCAACTACGGTCAGTGAAGAAAAGCTGGCATTCCCAGAACAGCATCCTAAACCTTACCATCTGGATTTGGTGGGATGAATGCTGTTTTTAGAGATATTTATTTCTTTTCAGATCTTACATACAGAAACTGTAGGTGACTGTCTCTGCTGAGATATCTGAACTGTAGAAATCTGAAGTTAGGTGAAGTGAGTCTTACCCACTCTAATCCAAATCCATTTTCAATACTGGAATAAGCAGTCTATATACAGCCCTTTCTTAAGGTCCTCTTCAGGCCCTTAGGCACTTTCTTAAGATCTACTTCAGATCTCTTCCTGCTACAGAACTAATGCAAATATATGGTTTTGTCAGGCAAACAGAGGCAGAAGTGTGGTGTATGTTCATGTTGCCTTATGTAGGGCAAAAGCCTTTGTTTCCTACATGAAAAATGTCTCCTTTCCTGGTGACTGTCCCACACTCCTACAACAGGGCAAAGACCCAAACAAACCCTGCTCTGTTTTCTTTCTTGCTGTGGACTGAATTTTGTAGAGTTTGTGAGAGGTGCCAGAAAGACAGCCCCGCAGATTGAATTACTCTGTGTATCCACAGACCAGGTAATGTGCCAGCAGCCAGAGCGTTAGCTTTCTTTTTCTATTCGCCTGCCAAAGGGGTTTGGTTTTGACCTGGAGAAACCAGCTGAGAGGGACAGAAGGTAGCTTATTCCACTTGATTCCTTGGCCTCTCTGTTGAGACTGGAAAGCAAGCTGCCAGGGAAAGGTAGCTGTAGGTTTTCTTCAGACAAGCTCTGGCAACTCACATGGGGGTGATTTAAGAGGTTACCACCTCACACTCTCTGCTGCCGGAGGTTACCGATTATTTAGCAGGGCTGGCAGAAGGGAAGCACCTCCTCAATGGTGGTTTGAGTTATGAAGCTGCCCTGCAGAGCTCTACAGCTAAGGAGGCTGCATGGGTTTGACTCTGTTTCTGCAGAGAGGCAGGGCGGGCTGCTGGTCCATCAAATCACACACCCTCAGATGGTGTTGCAGTGTTAGGAGAATAATACAGGGCAGTGATTATCACTGTTTGATTTCTTCATTTAGCATTTCTTCATTTAGCTCCTGCTTTCCCTGAATGGCTTCCTCACATTCCCCAATCACAGTCTCTCAAAGCAACCCAATCTGCTTATTCATTGGCAAAAATATGATCAGTGACAGTCTCACATGGAAAACATCAACTCAAGCATATCCTTTTGGATCAATTCAGTATTTGTTCCCCTTGAGATAGCCCACTGGTCTGCAGCTTCCACTGTAGCATAATTTTCCCAGGAGCTTCCATTGTTCGTATCAGTGCTACGTGGGTACCTGTGGTAACCCACGGCTTCTTGGCTAGCACTGGACATGGTACAGGAATTGTATTACACCCGCATCTCCATTCATCTTCCCATGCACACACACACAGTGATTCATTAATCAAACCCTTTCTCATCTAGGCTGGGAACAAAGGACAAAAGAAAGAGGACCAGTCACTTTCTAACGTGGTTACCACCCAGTTCCTCTTTTCCTCTGAAGTTTTCAAGGATGGGCCCTCCTTTCTGACGTTGTGTGCTCGAGGTGCTGAACTCACCATCCCATTGACTGTGGAGGTGAAAACCAGTCAGGATGATTCTTGGCTAAACTGCCCTCAGGTGATTTGTTTCTAATGCTACTGATTCACTGGTTTATAAAAGCAAAGTCTCCTCATCTGTCACCAGTCTTCATGTGGTCTCTGTTCTTCCTACACAGTTCCTTGGCTGATAAAAAGGTGTCTTTCTTTTGCTTTTTCATCCTTCTCCTAGTCGCCACAACAGTATGGTTCAAGGGTTGAGAGAATAAACCAGATCCGAGTCAATCAATGATCTTATATTCTCCCCATTCCTTAACTTGTGCCTTCTACTGTTTCTGCACCAAGATAGAGGTCATGGCTTCTTCTGCATTAGTGTGTTTGCTGAACCAGGAAAACTATATAGAGTGATCCAGAAGAGTTCTAGGAGACACCCCTCCTTCCCAGGGTTGGTTTGTGCAACTGCGTTTGCTGCCTGAAAGGGCATCTCTGGATCTCTGACCTTTGAATAACTGTCTATACAGACACTGCAGCCAAGGAGGATGCTCAAGGACATGATGACTCAAGCAGGTCCCAGGGTGCATATGCATGAGTGTGTTGTGTAGTTGTATTGGGAGAATGAAGCAGGCACTGCGTAGCTCCAAATGTTGGCTGGGAAAACTGCCTTTGGTATCATCTCTTAGAGGAAAAGAGGGAAAAGGTATGGAGCAGAGGCTGAGTCAACCCGGGTGTGGACCTAGAAAGGAAATAAATGTACCTCCAAAGCTGTTTCATTTTATTGTGTTTATATGTACATACGTACCCTTGCTTATAAATGCATGGTAGTTGAACCCTTCAAATGGATGTAGTGTATCCTGGGAATTGCCTGTGGACATGGGCCTTCAGGCTGAAGCAGGATTGTTGGGAACAACATTCCCTGGGTGTGCAGAGCTGGAAAAACTACAAACATTTCCTCCCTTTTGCTCCCACCTTCCAGTTTGTGCTGGGTGTGACTGATCTGACCGTGTTTCCTAAGCTCAGCAGTACCCTGTGAGTAAAGTATGATTTATAGCAAGCCAAGGTGCCACTTTCACTCATCTAGACTTGCCAGCATGGATCTGTGTGACCAACACTGTTCCCTTCCCCCAGTTTAATATGGCCTTATATCAGAAACATTCACATTGAGCTATGGTCACCAGTTCTCTCACTGATAAGTAGTTCTTCATCTTCCATGTGATCTAAGTCCAGATTCCACCAGCTGAATTTCCAGCCGGGACCCAGAGCTCAGGTGCCTTCAAAGGCTTCCAGTGTGCCAGCAGGAAACTGTGGGCACAAAGACTTAGGTGTGATTTAGCCCAATTGACTCTGGGCCCAGGTCTGGAGTAAGGAAGATGCCAAAAAACTTTGCAAAGACAACATGTAGTTTTGCTTTGATTTACTGTATTGGCTCATAGAGTAGCCACATTTCTTGCCCTGCCTCTTGCCAGATTTTCCCTCTAAAAATACAGGCACAGGCATAGTACACATGCATTCTGGGATAAGGTTGGTCTGTACCCTGCTGCCATTAGTTTTGGTCCATCTGTTTCCCAACACCTACTCCATCCTTAAGCTGACTACTAGTGCACCTACTCCTAGCACACACTGGTCTTCCTTTCCTGGTTGTCCTTCTTCACTCCTCAGTGCTATTATTGTGAAATCAACACGACAACACAAGCAGGCAGAGTAGGACTTGGTGCAGTAACTAAAAGCAATAAGCATCCTCGACACAACTTCTCAACTGGCTCAGACACCAAATTGTTTTCACGTGAGAGCTGCTAAGAACCTATTAGAAGACAAAACAAAGAATACTGAAGTGTCATCACATAAATTCTGTCCAGTCTAATGAGTATGGTGAGTTTAACCAGCTATTTACACAGTGGCATCTCAGCTCCTCAAAGCTGTCTATGGAACTGTATTTCAATGAAATAAGTTTAGTCAAATGCTGTCTGCAAACTCAACCCTAAGACAGATGAGTTAAGAGCTGAAATTAGTGATCTGTCCTTGTTCTTTAACTGAAGAGAGAGTCTGGGGGCTGTTAGGATAACAAAGACAGCCTAGGTTATTCAATTCAGATATTGAGAACATCTCACATATGGCCTTTAACAGTCAGCAACGACAAATAAAATCCTTTGCCATGTATTTGGAAGAGCAGGATAAATGATCACAGTACTCTATTTTGGCTTTGCAGCCTGCAAAGATTGGCCCTTGTCAAGGTAAGGTGGCAGTTCAGAGATGTCTGAACTGGTTAAATGAATACATGGTTGGAAGAACATGTGATGGAGCTAAAGGAAGGGTCAGACAAGCCCATCAGGTCTCTTCCAGTCTTGTTTTCAGTGGTTAAGTCATGTATTTTCTTCTTTAGATTCACTCCACACAATTTTCCCTAAAATTACTTCAGTGTTTTTACATTGATTTTCAAGGCACGTCTCAAAATATCATTATTATTAGAAAGCAAACCTCTACCCACCTTCACTGCATGTCTAACTTTCCCTCTTGATCTTCATTACAGTATCCCATTTTAGCTTAATCTTGCTGTAGCCTCAAAACCATATTAGATTATCATTGTAGGTCCCTTCCAACTGAGCAATTCTAATCTGTTCTGTTCTACTCTGTTCTAAAATTCTACTCTAAAATTTAATCAGCTCCCACATCCTTCTCTGCTTTTTCTCATCTGGCAGTGGTGGTGGGTGGGAAAAGTAATTTTCCAGATTATTGGATCACTCTAGCATAGTGTTTACCTTTTGCTTTTGGCTACACCACCTTTAACTCACTGCAGACCAATTGCTAAACAGAAATGATGCTGCTTAATGTCCAACAGCCAGCACAAGAGCCCACATATTGCAAAGAGGTTACGTGCAGAGGCATTTTCCCAGTAATTCTCTCCATGATGTCATGGGTGACCTCTTGGAGAGTAAGTGATGCTCTTCTGCCTTCCCCAAAGATATTACATTCCAGAGCTCTGGTAACGGGTTGTCCTTTCTTTAATACATTTTGCTGAGCAAGCCCAATGTCCAAGCTTCTTCACTCCCGATTTCTGGATGAATTCCCTGTGCATTCAGAAAAGAAATTTTCCTCTACTCAGTTCCTAAGATTCAGATCTTACAGTATATCAGGATTTTACTCAGAGACCCATCTATGTCTCTCTTAAATGGTGCTGAACATCTGAGCCTCGGGGGACTCATGGCAAGTGTTGCCACTATTTGGAAGAAAGCGTGGGATAAAATCCTTCTTGTGAAGAACCTAGATCCTACAGACATCTCAGATGCTTATGCCTGGATTCAGTCAAGATACCTCCAAGTAGAAACTGGTGTTGGGAAGTTTCGATGATGATGCTGAACCAAATTCTAGTCTCTGAGGCTGCCAGGAACAGTTTTTCTGTTGTTTTTACATAACTCACAGTGGAGTCCTATCACCATCCATTCTTACCTTCTACCTCAGAAGGCAGGATGTTGTTTTTGTCTCCACATGCCCTGGCTTGGTTAATCTAAATGGGGCCAAATCCTTGAGGTGAGAAAGGAGCCCATTTGAAGATATGGTGGAGGCATTGGGTAGTTCCTCTCAAAAAGGGAGCACCTTTTCCTGGAGAAGATGCAAAACTGAAAACCTATGAAAAGAAACAGGAGCTAAGTGACCTCTATCCTGTCTATAGCTCCTCAGCTCTGCAAGGATGATATTAAGGGGTGATTGGTTTGCCTGTTGACTTGTAAGCTCCATGGAGCCCATCCTGCCTTTCTCTGCGTCAGGCTGAGCACCACACCTTGGAGTAGGTGTCTGGGGGCTGAATGACAGCCATGAGGTCTGAGGCAATTCTCTGTTCCTCATTGTCCCCTTGGAAGAGAAATTTGAATGTCAAAGTGCCAGCTGCCAGCTTAAAAATAGAGGCAGAGGATGTATAGAAACCAGTTCATGACCCTGCTGGGAGGCATCCAGCCCTGGGCAGGTTTACTGCCATTTCAGGGAACATTCTGATTTTTTACTAGTTTTTATTGGCATAAATGCAGCGAGTTCTATTTAAAATGAAAGAAAAGGGAAGGGAAAGAAGGGGAAAAGAGATGTGGACCTTACTGACGTGTGCTTGGTGGAATCTGTCAGTCACACAGTCACACACTGGCCCTACATTGTCCCCAGGTGGCAAGGACAAGGCTGTGGCTGAGGAGTGCTGCCAAGGTCTGTTGGTGGAAATTTGCAGTTACCAAAGGTGGAAATAGCCAAGTCCCCATGTCCCCATGCTTCCAGATTCCCCTGCAGCAGTGGCCAGCTGGTCAGTCCAAGAAGGGCACTTACCTGATCAACTCTGCTGTCAAACCCATTTTGGACTCTGCTCCTCCTAGTCCTTACCTGGGAAAACCTTGCCTCTCAGGTCCTAGATGGTGTCTGTCCTGGTCAAACACCAGCTCCTGTCTCCTTCTCAGCCACCAGATACTAACCATGATAGAATCACAGAATGGTTAGGGTTGGAAAGGACTTTAAGATCATCTAGTTCCAAACCCCCCTGCCATGGGCAGGGTATGTATGATGTATGGGGTTGATTCAGTTGCCCCTACACAGGCACCCAGGTCCTCCTCTGTTGCCCTGGGGTACAAAGGCATAGAGCTGAGTACTTGGTATGTGCCTGAGGGTGAACTGGATCTTTCCATTGACTATAATGGGAGCTTAGACATCTTGTGCATGGGCAAATAAATATGTTCCAACACCCAAGCACGGAGGTGTTTGCAGGCTAAATATTCCTCCAATGCAAGAAAATACTCCTTTCCACTGGTGTCTCTGCAGACACTTTCCAATTTGGCTCCAGACCCCTTCCTATTTCACAAGGCAGTGGAGACTCAGCTCTCTATTTTGCTGATGGAGAAACTTGTTTCTCTTGTGATCCTGTGACTTTCCGCAACAATGGGAAACAGCTCAACCTCCCTGCTCTACATCTTGGGTACAGAATTCCTCAGGACACAACTGAGCAACCAAGGGGGACTCAACCAAGGAGGACTCAACCGGTCGTGTATTCCTGGAAGTGCAGTTGCGAGCTAGCGGCTGTGCTCTGCACCAGAGCTGGCTGCGTCCACTATG